ATTTTTTGAAATGACCAGAAACAATGAAACATACAGAAAATATCATATTAAATGAACAGCTATTTCAAAATATAATGATCTCCACAGAAAAAATATTAATAAGATACCAGCAGTCTTTATGGAAGCGAGTATTCACTTTTGATGCTGTTAGCTCTTATCCATCCCTTGATATAAAAAGCTTAATGTTGTAGGGAAGTTTACACAAGCCCTTTGCAATAGGCAAATTGGATCAATAGCATAAATGTTGACACGTATAAGGAAATGGGTGAGGAAAAAAATCACTTAAGGTTAGAGTTGCCACAACAGAAGTCTAAGGATTCAGCTAATCCTTAACGAATGCAATGGAAAACAGTTAACTTTTTCTTTGTGTTTTATGATATATGCTAACTTTTGTTCTGTTATAAAAACTGCTTTTTTGTGTTGTTATCATGGTTTAGAAATGGTACTCCTCCCGAATTTAGTTTTCCCAAGGCTCTCCAAAGCTCTGCAGCCACTCAGTCCCTCTCCCACTTCTCTTCTTTCCCACACTCATCCCTTCCACAGGTGGCTGAAGAGGAGAATTGGAGGCATAAAAGGCAAATATCATAGGCTGATGTAAGCACAATTTACTGGAAACAGTAATGACATAAGAAAATGAACAACATCAGCAACAATACTAATAACAAAATGTATAAGAAAAGAAAAGTATTCACATGCAAAATCCATTACAATAAAACAATACTGGATGGCTCCCTTACCATGTTTTTTTTACCAGCTACTGCAAAATTAACTCTATCCAGTCCAGAGCAAGGGCTGCTGTCCTGGCAGCTGCACAACACTGGGTAAGCATATGAAGGAACAAGAAATTTCATCTGAGAAAAAAATGACAAATATTGTGCAGAGAAGCTTCTAGGGCATGACAGTAAGATATTCATGAAGAGATGATATTGAGTGTGTGAGAAACACAACAAGCACTGACTTAACAGCACAATAGAGAACAGGAAAGTCTCAGTAGATAAAGGTGCTCTAGCAGGGCATCAGAGGGAACACAATGAAAAATACTGCCAGGGGATGCAGAAAGATGTATGTGATGTCTTCTGTAAACCAGAAAGTCTCCAGAAGAATGCTGGCACACATGGGAACCTGTAAAAAAGAAAGTAATAGTTATGATGGAAACAGAGAGAGAAGAATGACCCACCTTCACTGGATCACTTTTTCCAGGTGTCTTGTATTCTGTGAAAGAGATTCTGTCAGCAGGATGGAGACAACTCAAAGCAGAGAATAATTATTTATTCACTGGTATATGCAGTAGGCTGCATATTAGCCATTAGCATGGCTGCTCTGAACATCTCCCCACTACATCTTGCATTCTGCTTTTCTGACTGGACTCTCAAGTAGTTTAATTTCACTGCCAATTTTCAGCCTCTTCTCAGCACCAGATCATACTCCTGGACTCAGATTTTTCCTTACTAAATACCCACCAGATCTCCTAAGTGCCCATTAAGGCTGTAAGTATTCCACACTTGAAACTTTCTTGCTCTCATTAGTTCAAAATTATTCCCTTAAACCTTTTGGTGACTACTGGGGCAAACTTCTGTGAGGGCAGGAAGGGAGGATGCAGACAGAAAAGAAACTAGTAGGCTCATAAGAAACCATCTGGTAGCACCCTACTCTTGACCATTTCTTCCGTAGCTGGGGCTGTAGAGCTTTCTGAGGTGACCTTAGTCAGGCTGTGGAACATAGTCCTGAGCTAAAACATCGGAGATTTCTGAGAATATATATTCTCGGGCTGTGTGATGAAGGCTAGATTTGCTATAAACAAGCTGCTGTTTACATTGCTTCTTCTGAAGAATGCAAATCCAGTCGATGTGACTAGATGCTATCATCTCTTGTAAAAGCATATCTTTGATAGGCTTCATGAGAGAGGGCAGCAATTCTCTTGCCCAAACACAGATATCCAGAGCCACTTAAGGTACTCTTGCTTGTCTGAAAAATCCTCGCAGGGCTGTCAGACACAGCCAAGAGAGGACTCACATCCCTGTGGAGAACCATCTGGTTGTACACTAAGAGTGCTGAGAATCGTAGTGGCACTATGTTTAGGCACTTGAGCTGAGTAAACATTTCCTAATGATCCCTGCTCTGTGAACTATTGTTTGCACTGTTATAAGAGTCTCCTGTAATCACTGAGGAATAAATTGTACTTTGTGTATTTTTGCTATTATCGCATCTCTTATCTGTTTAGTTGTTTGTCTCTTGCAATAAATGTATTCCAAAATCTTTGTATTCTGTGGTGATTCAAGCTTTTCTATGCAGTTTAAGTTTTCAAGTGATTTTTTCTCTATATTGATAAAATTTTAAATAAATAAAAATATTTAATATAATAATAATAATAATTTAATTTAATAATTTAATAATTTAAATAAATAAAAATAAAAATATTAATTTCTCTGCAAATCCTAGACATAATTTTATTTTTCTTTTAAAGAAACAGATATCTCAAGAGATGAAACAAAGAACTTTTTGCAAACAGACCAGTTACAATCAAAAATGAATATGCTAAAATGTAGTGCAATGAAATGTGACAGGAATAAGAACAGGGGAAATGCAATATGATGCAAAAGGAATAAAATAACCCAACAAGACTTAAGACAATCTTGCATGCATCTTCACTAATTTCATACATTTTCTCTAGTGACCCTGTTATTAATTGTACAGGTATAAGTGTGTTGACTACATAAAATCATAGTAGGGCTACAAATAGGAAGGAATTAGGGTCTTAAAACTCTGTTTCCATGTAAGGTTCTACTTACCTGGAAACAACCACGGTCCTAATCAAGTACTTGTCAACTGCTGTCAGCACAAGTACTGATATGATGAAACAGTCTGGGGATTTCACACAGAATCACACACAGAATCACAAGTCCAACACCTAACGCTTCAACTAAACCATGGCACTGAGTGCCAGATCCAATCTCTTTTTAAACACATCCAGGGATGGTGACTCCACCACCTTCCCAAGCAGCCCATTCCACTACTTCTTCACTTTTTTAATAAAAAAAACTTTTTCCGAATATCCAACCTATATTTCCCTTGGTACAGCTTGATACTTTGTCATCTGGTTCTGTCAGTTGCTGCTTGGAGAAAGAGACCAACCCCACCTGACTACAACCACCCTTCAGGAAGTTATAGAGAGTGATAAAGTCCTTAAGTTATAGAGAGTGATGAGGTCGCCTCTGAGTCTCTTTTTCTCCAGGCTAAACAACCCCAGCTCCCTCAGCCATTCCTCACAGGGTTTGTGTTCCAAGCCCCTCTCCAGCCTCGTTGCCTCCTCTGGATGTGCTCAAGTGTCTCAATGTCCTTCCTAAACTGAGGGAACAGAACTGGACACAGCACTCAAGGTGTGGCCTCACCTCATACAGTTGAAAAATATTGCTGCAAATAGAGGTGTTATTTTCCAACTAGTCTAGTTACTCCTTGTCCAGTAGCACTCAGAGCATCACTGCATAAGCAAATGTTCCCACATTTTTTTATTTTCTTAATGGACAAAACCCACAAACAAATAAAAACAACAACAAAAAAAGACTAAGCAGAAAGAAAAACAAAACCAGTCCCAAACCAATAACCACAAAAAAGCACCTTTTTGATGATTTCCCTGATTTCCCTTTAATGTGCTGGAGGTTGCAATGACTCTGGTTAGCTAAAAATCTATAAAGCTTAATACCAATTATTTAGGTATTTCCTCCTTTTGACCCTACTGAATATGGGACTACAAAGTTATATATGTTAATAATTGATCGGTGAAATAATCCAGTCTGATATTGTGAGATATAAGTAAATAAGTAGGCACATTAGGAAGATTTGGTCCCAAAAAAAACCATATTTGAAGAGGGGTTGCACCACTTGTACTTTTTTTCCCCATTTGATCATATATTTGCATATATTTTTACTGCATACCTTTTATGCTTGCTGGAATTCTTTTCACATTAGTCTTCTTCCATTGTATCTTGCCAGCTCAGCTACCTGCATCTGTCTTTCGTTTTCCTCACCACTATCTTTCTAAATTCTAAGCCTTTAGTGCACAAATTAGTTTTCCTAATATAAAATTTCCTGTCAAGATTATGAAAGAAAGAGGTTTGGTTTTAATGAAAAAGGCAAGAAATATACCTCAGTATAGGGCAGAGATTTAATTTGTTATCTTTATATGATTATTTTTCATATGTGAGATCTGATTCTTAGAAGATAGAGCTGGAAAGGTAGGCAGAGGAAAGATACTCGTGATAACTTTCCTTTTTTAAAAATCACCTTTTTTAAGCAGGTCTTTAAGCTATTAAGGAGTTGGAAAGTGTAGTTCTGGCCCAGTGAAATCTCCTGTTAACCTTTCTTTATTGAGGGAAAATAAAGGATATATTGCTGGATCTTTACCTAGTACTCTGGCCTCATGAATGAGTTTCTTAAGAGAATTTGATTGGCTCTTGCCATTGGAAACCTTTTGGTCCAACTAACAAGCAGTTTTAGGGAGTCATGGTAGTGACATAAACTATTGGACCTATTTTTAAATAGTGCTCCTGGGAATACTCTTCCCAGGCAACAATTATGTGCAGAGATAGCAGTTGTACCAAATTGCAAGGACAGTCTAAGCTGCTAGCATATTTTCAGATTCCTATTACATCCTGTGTAACTAAGGAAACTGTTAATGCTGCTGCACTGCAAGAATGAAATGTGCAGGTAGAACAGGACTACACTATAGGGGAGATGACTGCACTCACACCTGATAAGAATAGAATCTTTTCCATTCCTGAGAGCATTACTGTGCAGTTTAGGTAGCTAGGTGGTTAGTTAAGGTTTTCAAAATTTCAAAATACATGTTTCTGCTTGTAGCAAGTTGCTTCAGTTAAAAAACCCTGTCTTTTAAAGAGAAAAATGTATTAGACAATGTACAAGTTTAAGAGCAAACCAATGAGAGACTCCAAGTCAGAACTACAATTTAATAGAAAAATTAACTGACAGGGTCAGAATACAACCTGAAACCCTGTTGGTCAGGGTGTTGGTAGCAGTCCCGTTAAATGGTGGCTGCAGTCCTCCTGGCTGACAGATGTGGTTTAGTTGAAGCAATGATCCTGTAGAAGGCTGTGGTCTTCCTCTGGGAATGTAATGGAAAAGTCTGGCTGTGGTTCCAAATCTCAGATTATATCCAGGTAGAAATTCTTGGCTCCTGCCCCTGGGTGGGGTATCTTACAGTGGGATGATGTAATTTTACCAGTCATGCAGTGAGACTCAATGGCCCATTAACAGAAGATATCCCCTGAAATTATCAAGGATGAGTCATGAAGACGATAAGGAACGCTGCCCCACCTGGTTTTAACAGTTTAGGGAGATGGTGATAGAATACATTGAACTTAGAACAGGCAGTGTCTTTCAGAGCATGTCCTCAGTGCCCTCTGGGGAAAATTCTATACTCTGTCTGGGTCATCTTTCCAAGTTCTGTCTTATTTCATTAATCTAATTCAATAAGTTTTATAGATAACAGAGCCAAAAAATGCCCACGAATACTTATTTACATTTGGAAAATAAAATTGCAATATATCCTGGATTGTTTTTGAAAATAATCTGATATATTTGTTGCCAAGTACATCTACCTTAAAATAAAATTGTGATTTTGTTTTCCTCTATTATGATAGGCAAGATAATTTAAAGCATTTTTCCTCTTTGAAGTTGTAAGGGGAAGAAAAAAGTATCTAGTTTAGATTGTGGCTTCAAAGCCAGATAACACTCTTTGCACCAAAGCTCCACCTGAAAACCAAGAACTCACCTTAAAATAGATGAGGTTAAGACTTGAAGCACATACTAGTGAGAGCAAGTGTGGCTAAACATCCCTAATACCATTCATTACTCTATCATTGATTTCATTCATTAAACAATAATCTCAGTTTGCAATCCAAACTGCTATTTGTGACCTCTCTCTCCTTTTTCTTAGTTCTCTCATGCTGTAGTAGGTTAGAGAAGAGGTCTAGCCTGTTATGCTATTTATGACACTTGTGAAGAATGAGCACCTTTTGGAAGAAAGAGGGACCTGGTAAACATCTAGTGACATTTCTCCAGTGTACTTTGCTGGTCTCTAGTGATTTAAGGCCAAGACTGCCTGAACCCTATCCACATTTTAGAGGTCTATTCTTTTTTTCTCCCCATACTCCTTGTTGTATTTTTGTTGTTGCTGATGGTTGTTTGTGTTATGTGTGTGTATGTATGATTTGTCTTTATTTGTTAATTTTTTTGGTGACTTGATTGTTTGGGTTTGGCTCACCTTTAGAATCTTCATGCTATTTTAGCACTTTAAACATTTTCTGTCTGACTGCAGCTACTTATTAGGTGAAGGGTACCTTGTTTGTTAGAAGCTTTCCATCCTACATACCTTTGTTGTATCGGTCCATTGCAAGGATAATGAACACATGCTTAAAAAAAATTGCATTTTTCAGGACTCAGCATGAAAAATATACTGTGAAAAGACCTGTGTGCGTGTCAATGGATAATTGAATGACTGCTCAGGTTCAGGTTGGTTTTCTGATTTTTCTTTATCCAGTTCCACACAATTGCCATAGACTTGAGCATGGGCACTGAGACGTCATGGTGTGAGTCTGTGCAGCACCTGTCTGGGGCACAGAGAAACATCTCCAGCTTGGCATGCACAGAGGTTTTCAACCTATATTAAAGCATTTTACCTGCTCTGGGGACTAACACAATACAAGAAGAATAGGAGTAGCTTTTGGGCAAAATAAAGGGCTATTTTAACTCTTAGTAGTAGCCTGTATTTCCATTTCCTCCAGAAAGAAAATCTTTTTCACCAGGAATTATTCTGTCTTTTCCTTTCTCTACAGCCATACCAAATAAGAAGATGAAATATGTTAATGTCTGTGGAGCATTATTTTATCAGTATCAAATGAAGCATGTCTTTTATCAGAATATATATATATAACTGTATCTTCACAGGTAGCTCTCTTTTCTGTTTTTGATTGTTTGTTTGTTTGTCTTGGGGTGTTTTTTTGTTTTTTTGTTTGTTTTTATTTTTGGGGTTTTTTTGCCTTTAATTTTCTATTCTGGAAAACTTATAAAGACCTGGGATTTCAAAGGAGTCTGACTTATATTTCCAGTTTATATTTAGAGGCAGTATAAATGTGGTTTAAGTCCTTTGGGATTCCATGGAGAGACAGAAGACCATTTTCCCAGATGTATTTAAAGGGATCATAAGTGACAGGCTAATTACCAGAATATTGGATTTAGAAATTCAAAGGCACTATCTATCCCCTATCTAGCTTCAAAAGGAGGTAGATATGGTATGGAGAAAAATTCAAGGGTGTATAGAAAAGCTGTTTGTCTGTTTATCTATTAAAATTGCTTAAGGTGAGATCTCTGGAGAAAAATGTATTCATGAAGTTATATATGAAAGCGTTTTTTTAAGTACAGAATTCCCAGGTGATGAATGCTAGGAGTATTTGAGGACAGAAAGTCCTAGAAATAGGTTGCTTCATCCAAGCAAATCATGAATGGATTATTGCCAGCAAGCTAAAAGTATCACAGCTTGTGTTTACTGCAAATGCATTTAGTGCGGAGGGGGGGAAAGAGAAAAAAAAAAAAAAAAAAAAAAAAAAAAAAAAAAACAAAACAAAAAAAACAAACAAAAACAACAAAAAAAAAACAAACACAAAAAGAAAAATTAACAATCAGTATTCGTATCCTTACTATTAGTGAGGTAGCTTTCTTTACNAAACACAAAAAGAAAAATTAACAATCAGTATTCGTATCCTTACTATTAGTGAGGTAGCTTTCTTTACTCCCTTCATTTTTGGTGGTGTTGCTCATAATAAAATATTTAAGGAAAAATTCCACCACTATTATTTAAAAAAATAATCAATTTACGATAGTCAGGGGGAAAAAAGCTGCTTTTATTTTGAAGGATTTTACTCCTGCCTGTCAAAGAAATATCAAAAGGGGCTGAATGTGTCTGCTGGCATGTCAGTGACAGTGAAGTGACAGTACAGACACCTGAAGCCTATCTACATGAGCAAGAAAAGGCTACTGCAACAGTCTCCTGAGGAATTTCTGAAAGCAAGCTCTGTTCCAGACAGAGTCAGGAACAAATCCATGTTAAAGAAATACAGAACAACAAGTAAAGGATTTCTTGGCATACTACAGTAGATAATAATCCTCAATAATACAGCAAATATGGAAAAAAAATGCAAAATGCAAGCTTCCAAGTTTAGATTTCTAAATAATGTCATAACCAACCAGCACATAAAGAAGACAAGAATTCATCTTTCTGCCAGTTGATGTATTTTTAGGTATGCTAAGGTGTGCTGTAGAGGTTGCCCAAGTGCATTGTACCCTGAGCAATTCACATTATGCAACTAAGCAAGAGAAGAGTTGAATGACTCCTCACATTGTTAGCAGTCAGAAGCCCTAAATAGAGGCCAAAAATACATTAAATAATATAGACTCTCTGCAAATGTTATAAAACAATAAATAGAAGACAATTGTGCAATGTGTGGACTGGAATGTTTTCTGGACCTAGTGCCAGTATTTGAAGGGCACATGTGGGATTAAGCAATTTTTTTTCTGTAGTTTTGAGTATTGGACCAGTCTATGTCAAAATTTAATTTGTGGCAATCCTATGCCCATCATGAACCATTTGGACTTTTTTATGGATGTTTGTTGATCCTGTGGCATGGTATTTTTTTTTTAATAGCAGCAGTTGGAGTTAAGAAATAAACCTGTAAACAAAGGACATATATGCTGGAGTGAGTTTCATTTTGCTACTTTTCAAATCTTCTAAGCTGTTGTTGCAAAACATCTCAGAACAGAGTTTATCATGCAACAGCTGCTGAAAGGACATTTTCTATGTCCAAATAACCTTGAGGTTTCAATTGGGGAATTTAATCTAAAGTGCTTGTCCTTTTAGAGTAATAAAGGGTGTATATGAAGTCTGTTTAGATCAGCAAACACTAACTGTGTCCTTAAATTTCTAATGCAAGCACTAGATTACAAGCAAGGGGTAGAAAGACACAACCTCATCGTGGGCCAGGTGTCAGTTTGGCTGCTTACTGACACGTGTACAGAGAGTTCTGCCTGTGCTTGTACAGAGCAGTTATCGTACTTGCCTTCTGCCTTACGTGCATCTCACCTGTCCAGAGGGAATGCTTTCCACAATGCAACATGAAAGCTAAAAGCAGGAGAGATGAGTTCAGCATAGCTCAAGTGGGGAAATGAAAGTAGTATCAGATCTGTTCATCTTAGTTTTGCTGGGAGTTGCTTCTGCTGGGGCATTGAAACAAACTACTGGTGAGATACCAGGTGTGGCTGTGCAAAGCATTCCTGTGGTTGTGATTTTCACTGCCTTGACAGAGAAATGAAGAACAGATGCAAGATGAAGTGTCTGTGAGATCAGGCTAGGAAAGTAGGAATTGCACTGTTAATCAAATACAGCATTAAAAATCAGCTTTAAAAATTATTTTTTATGTGAAAGTAATTCCTGTGATCACACACAGCACTATGGGAGGGCAGAGAGGGCAATTTACAGAAAAGTTGACCAAGTAGACAGTTCATTGTAGTTGAGGGGGTTTCAAAATAATTATACAAAAAAATAGACTGAGCTGAATTGAAACTGATTGAAATGGTAATCATTTTTGGTTTGCTTTTCTCCTTCATAGTTATATATGCAAGACTGTTCATGAGCAGTTGTTTACAGTAAATGTTTCAGAGGTCACAATTCTGTAAGATTTTTATTTGGGTGTACTTCTCCCCTTCTCTTCTCACCTATGCTATAATCACCATCATTCTGACCACAGTACTCACAAGTTGGAATCAGAATTTTTTCTAATAACAGTAGCCATTTTCTTCCTATACACCCATAATTTTGTAGGCTATTATTTAATTTTTATTCATACAATCCATGATAATAAAGAAGACTGGATTTGGGAGGAATGACAGTCTTTCTTGACTTCTGAGAAATCTAGATTATTTTGCTGAGCATCAGAGGCTGGTATTTTTCAGTGACACCCATCAGGTGACTTGAGGGCTGTAGCCCATCCATAAGATATAAGCGTCCACCTGGCTGCTGGTTTTCCGGAAAAAAATGGAACAGGTGTTTGGAAATCAGATTTCACACTAAAAGCCAAATTTCTTTCCTTGTGAAGGGCTTGGCAATGAGCAAGTTGCAGATGTAACAGGAGTGGACATCACAGGTCTGCAGACACAACTCCTCCCGAGCTGCACAGCCTGGCACAGAGTCAAGTACTGCCTCTCCTCTCAGGCAGGGGAGGGGAGTCCAAAATTGAGATTCATCTCTCCCTGCTGTTGAGGTTGGACGAGTTTGTAAAAACTGTGGTGAGATGCTTCACAGCAGTTAGCCAGGCTTACTGTGCTGAACAAAATCACATCTCATGATAATATTACAGCTCAGATGACTCAGAGACACTGTGAATGCTGAAAATGTGGGACTATAATAAGCAAATAATTCTGGCCAGCACACAGCACATTGTATTCCAATAAATGTTACGTTGTGCACAGTATCTATGTCCATATATATATATGGAGAAAGATAGCTCAGGAAGCACGAGCTTTTGTGCTGCAAACATGGGATCATTGAATAATCACCTCTTCCAGATAAGCCCAGTTACTGGCTTAAGAAGTAATGAGCTGATTTTGGAAGCTTGTTCACTAAATATACAAGGCAAACTCTTCACACCCTCATATTTGCAGAATGAATTACACACATATATATATATGTGTGTGTATGTTTTTTGCTCACAAGCCCATTATCAAGTAAGTCAAATAAACCGTGATCCGTTTGCAAAAAGAAGAATACATCCGTATATTGGTGGAACAATTACTTGATTATGCAAACTGCATTCATCACTTTTGTTAAACGAGTTGCCCCTTTATGTAGATCTGAGTCATTTGGATTTATTTTGTTTGTTTGGAGTTTTTCTTATGTAGAAGCAAAATATATTGTGGTTTGCTTTCAAGACTAGCTGAACCTTGTAGACTTAAGTCAAAACTGTGGATCCTGCTGGTTTTGTAATGTAATTGTAATATCTTATGTGAAACTTGAGAATTGGATCCCAGTGTAGGTATAAATTAAAAACTACTCCCTACAACCCCTTTGAAACAAGCTTGCTATACTTTTCCCAGATGTTGTTGTAAGTAATCTTTTTTAACACAGTAAACCTTGTACTAGCATGATTGCTGTATTTCTGCTTTCCAGACTTGGCTAGCCTCTCGTTTCAAAGGGCAATATAAGTGTTTATTTTTCTCTTTCCTTTGCAGATTAGGGATACAAATATGATTTTTTTTTCTTGCCAGATTAAGAAAATAATCAGAACTCATTGTAGCTAGGAGTGATAAACTAAGAAAAAAATATAGATGTTGTTTGGGGTTTTTAAAACTACAATTATTAATCTTAGACTGATAGCATGCTTTTTGACATTTCCTTCACTGTCTATACACTATAATTATCTTTCCCTCCTACAGCACTTTTCCCCTGCCTTTTTCTCTCCTTTCTCCTCCCATCACCAACTCCACTCCCATAATACAGAAAATATCTTCTACACTTAGCTTTTCAGGTTTTTCATTTGTCATTTTGTGTAATAAGATTAGATTTCATAATCTACACAGGGTAAACCTGCAGGTATATACTGATAAAGAATGGTTCAACTAGGGAGTGTGTATTTGTGCTCTTCTTTCCTCTTTGATTGCAGCAAGCAAACTAAGCATATTATTTAGCCCTGTAGGAAAAATAATATTTACTTATTTTGGGAAACATGAATGTAATGTAATATGTATATATGTATTTGTAATATATATATTATAAATTATAATTAAATACTTAATTTTAAGAATTCCTAAATATTTTAACTGTTTTAAAATATCCCTAATTAAAAAAAAAAAAAAAAAGGTAGCCCTACAGTTCTTTAAGGATTTTGTATATGGCTCCTCGCCAGAGGTCCTAAACAATAAATAATAAAGTAGATAACTACTTTGTGCGTCTCTGATTGCCCATCTCCTTCAAATACTTTTTGAGTCTTTTATCTAAGTGGACATATATGAAAGAACATTGGCTCAAGCATGATGATTTCATTGAATTTAATACAAAAAATCCTGAATAGTCTTTAACAGATAAGCCAGAGCCAGTGTCCTCATGAAAACAAGAACATATAACTTCTACTCACTTCAGAACACTGCTATCACATTTCCTTTTAATTATGCAACATATCCTTCAATCTGTTTCTTCTTCCCTGTAACAAATGAGTCTCACATACTGTCTGCTATGTACAATGAAATTCCTTTAGCCCTTTGAAACACCAGATACTGAGACCATTTCAAAGCATGAAAACCTGGTCCTGTACATAGGCTTACAATCTTTGATTACCTTAATAACTCAATTTTTAATGTTATAAATCTACTGAAAATGTTGGATTATGTGTACCTGAGGTGAAATTTTAGTGTTGATCTACATAAGTACTAACTATAACTTTGTATGACTTTGAAGTATACATAATGCAATTTAAAGCAAACAATGGATACTCTTGTCAAAGACACCAGAACATAAGTGACTACGGACAATTTTATCATATTCCTTAATATTATTTAGAATAGAATAAAATATTTCAGTTAGAATGGAACAATGATCATCTAGTCCAATTGTGTTGCCACTTCATGGTTATCTAAAAATTAAAGCATGCAATTTAATCATTATCCAAAGGCATTTTCAACACAGGCAATCTTGGGGCATTCCCAACCTCTCCAAGAAACCCACTCCATGATTTGACCACCCTCTCAGTAATGAAAAGCTTCCATGTGTCCAATCTAAGTCTCCACTGGCACACTTTGAATCATATTCATACATCCTGTCACTGGATACTAGGGAGAAGAGCTCAGCACATCCCTCTTCCCTCCACCTCCTCAAGAAGCTGCAGTGAACAATGTCATCCCTTAGCCTTCTTTCTTCCAAACTAGACAAGCCCAGAGTCCTTATCTGCTCCTCACAGAACATTCTTTTCAACATTTTTACCAGCTTTGTTGCTTTCCTTTGGATACATTCAAGGAGTTCCACATTTTTCTTAAATGGTAGGGCCCAGACTTGCACACGTTACTCAAGATGAGGATGCACCAATGCTGAATAGAGAGGGGTAATCAACTTTCTTGACCAGTTGGTTACACTGAGTTTGATGCATTCCAGGATGCAGTTGTCTGTCTCTTCAGAACCACAGGCAGATATCTTTCAGCTGAGAAAAAGATTGTGTACTCTAGAAAGAACTGTATATAGAGGTTTAAGGGTTTGTGGTTTTGCTGTTATAATCAGTACATTTGAATTTCTTACGAGTTGCATATCAGCATTGAAAAGAGTCTAGGCAGAATTACTTGTGGAGTTATAATTTATAACTGGGATCTTGTCTTTAAAGAACAATAGAACCCTCTTCTTATTCCAAAAATATAAATTTTATTTCACAAGTGCAAACAAATCATTGACATTCAGTGACAGTAGACATGCTTTAACTACTGAAGGTTCTGCTGCTGGTTCAAGCAAATGCAAGGAAATATTTTACAGCATTTGCATTTTTCTCAATTTTTCACTTCACCAGCATTCGGCAATGTTCTCACAAAAGAAGTTGAGATCAGTCAGTTTGCATGTCTTTTGCCCAAACAGCTCCCAGATATAATCTTGTTTACAAATGTCTTTTTTATAATCTTGATTACAAATGTCTTTTTATAAGTGGCAAAAATAAAAGCATATTTATCACTTTGGGGTACCTAACACCTAGAGCAAGGATACAATTTTAATAGTGTTCTTTAAGGGGCTAGATGGTGTTCAATTTTGGTATACATTGAAAATTTCATGCATGGCCAGAAAAAATGCAAAATCTATGGATCCATAACAAGGATTAAATTGACAATAGCAAATTTTATTTTTGTTCTTCTGCTTGTGCTATTGAAATATGTTTGTTAATTATTCATAATATCCTTTGTGCTCCACTTCTTCCACTTCTTGCCTGGTTGTTGTATAGGCTTTTTAATGTTTGCTTTTTTTCCCCAGATAAATTTAATATCTCATTTCCAGAGTACTTGATTGGCTTTCAGTGTTGTTCCTATACCACTCGAAGGACATCTTTCATTTTCATATGTATGAAAGCTGATGCTTTGGTTAACAGAGCTTGTGAGTTTGGCTATGCTGCCCTGTGTCCGGAGAGTGGATTTAAGAGCAGAGCAGTATATTTGCCCTTCATGCCCTCCACAGGGCAGCTGGGGAAGGGCAATCCAAGTGTTCCTGAGCTACCCTCTGCTCCAAAGGGAATACCAGCAGTCTGAGCATATCCACCCACTCAGTCACCACCAGGCACTTAGGATGCTGCCACACACCTTGAGACAAACTGAAATATTTTTTGAAGGCTTAACTCTAGACCTTTAAGCAATTCCTCGGATTTCTAGTCTTGCATTGAGACTTCATCATGCTAGTAAACAATGTGGTTAGAAAATAAATTAAGGTGTCTGTCTTGAGGTTAGCTCCTGTAATAATAAACTTAAGCTAATTTTGAGATTTCCACTGGGACATGTAAGAAGGTTTTCATGTCATCACAACTCAACATTTAAAACTTGAGTAAGATTAATGTCTTTCCAGGCTGGCCATGTCAAAGTCCAAAATACATTAAGAATTCAACATCTAACATCTTTTACATCTAAGTCAATACAAAAATAAGCAAACTAACAAAACCAAACCAAACAAACAAAAAAAAGGTAGACATTCTGCTTTTATTTCTTTCATTAAATATCCTGTATATCTATATATTATTTTTATTCATTTGTTACGTCCTGTAACAGCAAGATACTCTCTGTGAACAAAACATTTTGCATTTCTGGGAGTGATATTTTTCTCATTTGAATCCCATCTCATTTCTCTGATCAAGAGTGTTCAAGGTATTGTGGGACTCCACAGTGGAGTCTAAGCACTGGAATAGACCATACTATTAGCCACTGACAATGTGCCAACAGTGCCTACAGATTTCTAGAGCAAACCCCCTGCAAGATAAAAGTTTTTACTCAGGTAGAGAGGAGTCCAACATGGTTCACAGGTTCCTCTTCCCAAACTGTTTTTTGTCAGTCTGGCAAGAATCACAGGGTTTTCAATACCAGAAGCATTTTCCTTTCACTTTAACAAAAAGATATTTCTAGTCTTCATGGTTATAAAAAAAGACTGAAAATATGGATTCAAAAATAACTTTTCAGAACATGTGATAAAGAAGCTGACAATTATTTTGAAAAGATTCTTGTATAATTTATTGTGGTCATGCTTCTTTTGTAACTAATGAATACGTGCAATTAATTCATTGAATCATAGAATATGTCATTGGAACAGACCTGTAAAAGATCAAATTCCATCAGTTTCAAGACCAAAGGTAGGTAAGGTTTTGTCCTGCTTTAGATCAACCAAAATCCCACTGTGTTTAATGTAGTCTTTTCTTGAGAACAAAGAAGCATTGCACAAATTTCAGCATACATTGCATTATGTTTGGCTGCAGGCTTCTTTCATGTTTAGCTTTGTACACGGGCATTCACATATGTGTTTAATGTTTATTTAAAATTTCAGTAAATCTACTCAATACCAACTAACAGTGTCTATAATAGATCTTATGTTTTAACAAGAAAATTCATGCTGTTTTAAAAACATAAAATTAGAATCAACAATTCTTAAGATAAAATCATAATAGAAGACTAGCAGCAAATGCACTACAAGTATGATATTAGAATTTTTTTATTCTCTTCATTTTTTATTCTTTCTTCTCTCCATTTTGATAAATGGAAGGAAACTTCAGCTGTAAATATGCTTTTCCTTCTGTTTGTTTTTGGGTAATTTGGTTTATTTGTCTGCCTTTGTGATTTGCTTGAGTTTCAGGTTTTTTTTGCATTTCTGAGAAAAGTTTTTGGGGAAGATAATATGTTCTGTGCTTCTATGTATTCCTAACAGCTGGTGGCTATTAGACTTCAACCAAGCACATACATCTGAAAGATCACAGTCAACAGAGGGGAAAAAGTTGGTAAGGTATGCATCATCTGACCTATTTTAGACATTTCCTTGAGTGTGAGATGAACTTGCCCTATAAATGTCTGTCTCTTTATACTGGCAATAACAAAGCTTGAGATCATGAACATGAATAAAATCCTTTAGACAGAAAATGTCTATGTTTAAATAAGGGCATATTTCTTCCTGTTGCAGGAATCTATTTTTGAGATTGGCCTTACTGCCGGTGCACCTCAACAGTGATATAAGTGTGAGTGTTATTAAGAAAGATGGGAGTGTTCTTTAAGAAGGATATATATAGGAAAATTAAATTGAAATTATACTGACTTTAAAATAGTTTTTTTCATTAATATATTATTTAAAAATTGTCTGTATATCCCTTTGAGATTTTTAAACATGAACTGAAAGTTTTAATTATATATTTTTTTAATATATGTTGAAACTATATGAACATATAGTTGATAAATTATTAACCATATAGTTTCAGTTTAATAACAGAAATCAGTTAGGTATTTCATCTTCTTGAAGACAGTGAGAGATATTTCAATCTTTTCTTATTCTTGTCAGCTGACAAGATTTCTTTTGTTATGATAATTAGATTGATGTTAAGTTGTGATATGTATAATTTATGTTACTTTGTTTTTCTAATCAGTTCCTAATCCTTTCTCATTCTATTTTTCAGAATTTAAATAACTATTGAGTTATGTAACAATTACCTAAATCAGTGCTTGCAAATTACTCTGGGAACTGGTCTCGTTGTTTGGCAATTGATTAAAAGTTTTTATCAGTTTCTATATCTCAGCCTCTCCTTCTTTGCCAACTATGACTTTCTATTCCTTCTTCCATCCGTTCTCCTTGGGGGATGATTTTGTTAATGATATTTATTAATTTTTTGCTTAGTTATAAATATTCACACAATCCACAATCAACAGTTTCTCTCACTTTTTTGTTGTTTGCCTCTTCATATAGATTTAGTTAATGAATTTCTGCTTTTTGTCCCCTCATACTGAGAGGTAAAAGCATTTCAAGGTTGGAAGTGCTTGTGAAAACCCAAAGGTATGTTCATATTAGAGAAATAACCTCTGTTTAGCTCCTTTTTATATTGCTGAATATTTGAAGTTCAGTGGAAATTATAGTGTTAATTATGCAGCATGAAGGAATTCACCCTTCATTTTTGATTGTATCAGATGTCATTAACTAAAGACCTTACAGAAATTTTGCCTGTTTCTTAGCCAAGCATTTAGTTTTCCCAGGAGACTGTAGCAGATATTTCCAAATGTAGGGCACTGGCTAGGCAGAGGATGACTAAGCTGATGCCATTCCCCCACATTCATTCTCTGGAATTAAGTGGATTAAAAGTGTTGGAAATATATCTTTGTGCACCGCAGTCATATGGGACACTTCTGGAGACAGTGTAACAAAGTTGTTAGATACCCACAATATCTTCCTACGATAAGTGTTTGCATTAAAATCAACAAATCAATCAGGTCAGTAAAGTTGTTCAAATAAGATGTTCAAACATCTGCCAGAAAAAAAATCCAGGTTACCTGTGTTGATATGGACTACACCTAAACTCAGGACTTTTTTCTGTGATTATGGAATTAAAGTAAGTATGGAGTTGTAACTGCTTTAAAGGACAACATAAACAAATTTCTGCTATTGCAGCTGTATGTGAAACTCAAAACTCTAGTGTTTAGATAACCACTAACATCTTTAGAAACCACTGACATCTTTTAACCACTGGCATTTTTGAACCTGAGAAAATAAATTGGTATATTTTTGACTTAGTCATGCTTGCCGAAGGGACAAGAGATCTAGGTGGCCAAAAACCTGGAGCACTGTTGGGACTGAGTTTACATTCTACTAGCAGTATGGAATGCATTTCATAAGCCCTCTTGAGCTACACACCAGCAGGTATGTGTAACACTGCACATTTATTTGTGGGGTCAGAAACCTGGATCCTAGTATTCCATAAATATAATGACACACCAAGTCTTTTTTTTAGAATCCAATAATCTCAGAAATAGGAACATGTGCACAGATGAGTAACAAAAAAAGGCTTCTATATCAGTTAGCAGCAACTAATAACCTCTGAAAACCTAGGAATATAATAATTTTCAGATTTCTTATTGTTAATATGGATAACATCCCATAGGTTTCATAGCTTGGCCAAAATGTGCTTATAAAGTTTGGATAACCTAGGAATATCTGTAGGATACAAAATATATATTCCACAGATCTTTGCTTAGCTTCTTCTTTGTTCTGTTTTGTTTTTACATGGTGTAATAATGCCTCTTGGGCATTTGATAGAATTGTGTCATATGAAGTAATATTTCAATTAACCAACACATTAATCTCTCTAAGTCAATTAAGATATTTCAAAAGAAACCAAATAATTGGGTTGAAATCATACAGTTTATTATTTTTTAAATTAAAACCAGACAAATGAGCAAATATTAAAAACTTTCAGCTGTGAGCTAATCAGTGTTTAACTGCCTGTAGAGCAGCAGTGCAATCCACACTGCAATCTGAACATGGTGCTATTAAAAAAAAGTCAGTTAAACATTAAATGTAACTGAGAGCTGCAATTATGAAAGTTAAATCAAAGGATGCCACTCTAAACAGTTACATTTTAAATTGATATAATTTTAAGGGACTACGTGTTACACAACAAATGTCTGAAAACGGCTCCAATGTAAACATGTAAATAAATTTCTAAGTTAAAAATTGCACCCATGTGAGCATATTTTCCCTCTGTTTTTGTTTCAAGGATAAACTCTGTGTGTACTGCTTGACATATAATCACGAAGAAATTCCTGAATCAAACTTTTCTGCAGCGTGTGACTTTCCTTTTCCCCCTGCCTGTTCACACAAACCTAATAGAAAATTAATGTCTTTCCTCCTCTTTCAGAGGTTTGTTTGCAATTAGCCAGCATACCTAAAAAGTAGTAGAGAGCTAGCAGACAGTAAAACAGACAGCATAAATGAATATAGCATATGACCCCTTAAACTTTATTCTCCTTTGATCTTCACATCTAACTACACATATAAAACATGGGTTATTTTCTTTTAAAATATATTAAATTACAATTTTTTTAAAGAGAACACAATAAACTCAATCCATCAGATTTTGTTTTATTCTCCAACTTACGATGGATGTTTTGTCAAATCATTCCTTGATTTTATACCTCAGCAGACTGAGAGAGCATAGTGATTTAAATATTTTCTTCAGAGGGATGGCATATTCACAACATATTATTTTTGCTTTTTAGTGGTGCTAGTTATTTATTGGTGCTAAGAGAACAGAGACATGGAACAAAGTAAATCTTTATCTTCCTAGAAACCATAAGGTACTCTTATCTTCTGAGTGAAGAGACTGATGATTTCAATGTATAATGGAAAATGCATAGACATACTTAGGTTAGTTTTCCAATATCTGGCCCAGTGACCCAGAGCAGCATGGACATGACAGCACACATCTTGATGGGGACAAGATACTCAAGCACTGCTCAGGATCTTAAGGATGTGTTTTTCAGCTCATATTGAGTTCTCTAGTCTTTCAGCTAGTTTACTATTATAATCCAAACTAGATTATTGAAAGGCAATTTGCAATTTGACAACAAAAGTTAGAATTGTGCTACAAGGAGGTAGATTGACCCTCCACCATGCTGTCCCGTGTATTGTGTATAGCTGCAATGACCAAATTGTTGTCCATGCAGTGGACAATATTTCAACCTTGATGCAATACAGTGGATTGTTTTATAGCTTAAGCTTACTATTTTTTTTCCTTCTTTTTCCTCTCCTTTAAATTGACTATCAACACATGATGGAAATTTCTACAATTTGGTTATGGGGCAGACCTACAGTAAAATTACCTTAGGAAAGAAGTACTGTAATCCAAGGAAGTTCAGCTCACCTTCTGATGAAAAGGGTTACAGTGCTTATATATGGCATAACATCAGCATGTTTTTTGTTAAGGTTGACCACAAATGCTGTTCATGTCCTGGGTTACCATAATAAAAGAATATATTAGAAAACTTGAAACACAGTTGGACCCTCATTGTGTTACAAAGTCTGTCTTCTCTTAACTGTCTTTTTTTTTCTGTATTGTTTTACTGTAAGCAACAGAAAGGTTTGGTTTTTTCTAAAATAATTTTTGTGCTCACCATTTTGTTTTGTCTCTTCACACTGGATTCCCCCACCACTTCCCTTAATATTCTTCCAGATAAAGACAGACAAGAGAAGGTAAGGTTTACGAGGGAAGCCTGCATCCTTTCTTATAGCGTGAAAAAAATTCTGCAGGAAATCATCAAATTCTTCTGAAATATTAGATGCTTCCTATCTGATGCTGAATTATCCTCACAATATAATAGCTTCATTCTTTGAGACACTTAAATATGAAAGGATTGGAATGTAACATCCAGATGATTATTTTAATCCCCTGGGTCACAGGAAGACTAACTGCTTTGCTTCAGATATTAACAGGATCAAGGAAGAAACTGAAAGCTCAATTCCCAAACCCCAGACTAATCCCCCAAACACTGAAATGTTCCATCTTCATGTGAAAGAGCCTAGCATAAGCAGATTGCATCAATGGACAAAAAATAACTGAAATACTCTTTGAGGATTCTGTAAGGTAAAACCTGTTGGTGGATTGACATGAGGCTCCAAGATGCCCAGGCGCCTTCTCATGGATGTCTAGCTCATGAACTCAGCAGGAATTAGGTGCAATGTAGAAGCAATATAAGAGCAAATAAAAATTAAACAAACTTATAGACAAAGAAATAAAATAAAATATAATTTGTAAAATTGAGACAAAATTATACAAAGCCAAAATGGAGCTTTGGACTGAGGTAGATGCTGTCTGTTTCTCTGTTATCTGCACACAGAACTAGAAATTTTTGCCATTCATATCACTTATATCCAAGTTAGGTTTGTAGGTATATTGTTATAGGAACCTATGTCCATCAGATGTAAGCTGCTACACAAATAAAAGGCAATGATTCTATATTTTTAGGTTTTTAATAGTTTTAAAATCACCTCTGAAAAATAAATTAGCTTCCTGGGATATATCACCTTTGTCACTCACAGACCTTTCTGAATCCTTAAACTGTACTCGTTTCTGCCAGTCTTTAGATAAAGTTTTTAACTTACTACTTTTTGAAACCTCTGTTTTTCATAAATATTTATTACTCTATTCTTTTTAATTTTCAACAGCTGACTTTGTAAACAATTCCTATGTCATTCTTGTCATTCTATTCCTTATATTCTAATTAACCCTCAGATGTATACAGATTGGCATTTGGATTCACATGGAGGCTGAATCTGTTTGTTGATTAAATTTCAGCTGCTCACTCACTCAGAATTGCTATCAGTTTTTCAGTCAAGTTTGGAGCCAAATTATTGTGAAGAGGCTGTTTGTTTATTATAGCATTCCAGACTAGCAGAAGACTTTTACTGTTTTGGAAACTCTCTTAAAACAATAAAAGCACAATCTGGACATAATTCGGCTATTTTCTTCTTGAGAATACCTGTTGTTTCAATCAAAATCAGTGAGTGAAATACAGGCATATCACTTAAGCTGCCTTCTCTGAATATTTATCCAAAATTGGCTTGCTGCTATGGCACGAATAAATGAACAATCTCAGAAACTGTTGTTACTTGAGGCAGATGGTAGTAGTATCAAAGCCCAGAAGACTTCCAACTGCTGTCACGACTATAATCACCTCTCAGCCAAACAAATATTTAGGAAGAGTTTGAAAGATGTCCATATTTAGTACAGTGTGATGAAGAGAGTGAGAAAGTAGGTTATAGGAGACTCAAACTCATTGCATCCCTGGGCAGTAGGTTAATAGAGATTTGACTGAAAGTGTTAACTGTTTCCAATGAGGTATGCAGGGCACTAATCCAAAGAGATAAGATAGAGGAGCAAATTGTTATT